ATATAACAAATTGACATAGTTGTTACAAACCTAACTGATGGTCCCACGCTACACCAACAGATTCTCTGAAATTTGGCAATGACATAAGTGTCAATTTTTTGTAAAGCAGAATATGACTGCTTGCTATAGACAATGGCACTATTTCAACCTTCTTCCTAGGAGACATACTACTTTTCCCAAGAACACCATTTTACCTTGACTATTTCCTCAAACGTCTCCAGATTTTCCTTCATGCTGTAATGAGATCGTAGGAAGGACACAAAGTTGCATGGATACATCCCGTAGAGGCGATGAAAGAGGGCGTACACACTGGCATGAAGATGAACAAGACATGTTTCTGCTACATGACCTGCCATAAAAACAGAAAGCACACATGTGCCAGTTACTTTACCTGTCCAGGCCTCGGATGCCAAGCCAGTAATAGAACATTTTGTACTGATATCAATGGCCTTTAGTTAAATAGCATGCACAGTTTCAACTGAAACACCTTTCAAATGTGCAACTAAGGGCTCGTTCACACTAGGCTGTTTTGCCAACGCTTGCCAAACGCCCCTATAGCGTTTGGCAAGCGTTGGTCCGGTGTTTGCGGAGCGTTTTTAACGCTCGGCAAACGCTCCGCAAACGCATGCGCGGTTTAGCGGCGGTTGCTAGGCGTTTGCCGAGCGTTAATAACGCCCCACAAACGCCTATAATGCATTTGAGTGGTGTTACCGCTCTGCAAACGCCCCGCAACCGCGTCGCAACCGCACCGCAAACGCCGGCCGGGCGTTTGCGGAGCGGCACCATAGACGAGAATAGGAGGCTTCAAAGCCTCCTGACTCGACCAGAGGCGTCCGTTTTGCCGCGACGCAACGCGACGCAAACGCTCCTGTTAGAACAGCACCATGTGCTGTAATGTGCAGAGTTGGCAGAGGCGTTTGGGAAGCGGTAAAAACGCTTCCCAAACGCCTCTCTGCCGCCTGCACACAAGGCTAGTGTGAACGTAGCCTAAGACTTTAAAAATTCAACTGATGCTGTAAAGATTTTATTAAGGGCAGGAGTACTGCACTGCTTCTCAAATGATACCCCAATACAGGCTTATACAATGTCAGTGCAAAGAAGAAAGGGTGTGGAAAAAGCACAGCAACCTGCAGCAAAGAAAAACAAAATCAATTTACAGTACTCGCATCACTGAGCAAATTTCATTCATGGAGTCAAAACATTTACTAAAACTGGAGTGTGCAGAATCTGGTGCAGCTCTGAATAGAATAGCAGCTCTGAATAGCTTCCAGGTTTATTTCCAAAACTTGAACAAACAGAAGTTAGAAGCTGATTAACTACCATGCACAGCTGCACCTGATTCTGAGTGTGCCAGTTTTAGAAAATCTCCCCCTTAGTGCGCAGGACACGCAGGCATCTGACACTCTTGGAATTGGTAAAGAGTTTTACAGAGGTTGACGCACTGAATTGAGGGAAGGCAAGAGACAGGGGGCTGCCAAAGAGGTCTCTTCAGCTTTTTTTTTTACTTAAATTAAAGCTGTCCTGATTCCCTGCAGTTAGCTGGAGCTAGGCTTTTGGGTGGAACTGTATAACCCCATTGAAAATCTACATCTTTATATGCTCTATCATCTCCCAAACATGTATGTTTACAAAGGCGATTGGACAAAAAAAAAAAAAATTTATCACAATTTCAACTGAAATCAGCTGGATCAGAAAACAAATTAATTTTTCAGAGACCATGCCCTTGTAGACTGGGTTAATTCCCACTGTGCTATCTCCTGCCATAAACAAAACAAATTCCACAAATTTGTGTAGAAACATTTTGATTTCACTAAACCCATGGCTCATAACAGGAGTAGGTGCTTACTTTATTCCATTATAGCTGTCACCACATACAAGGCTCCAGAACAAGAGAAAAGTGTTTCCGACTCACCTGGGTTTTTCAAGCACCAGCCTGACAGGCGGCCAAAAATGTCAAAGAACTCATGCAGATACTGTTTCCCTGACTGCGGAATCATTGGCAGCACAGTGATTAACACTAGGACTCCGGTTGTGAGAACCACAACATCTGTGTCTGTCTGTAAAGAAAAATAAGCTGTTTAAAGAGCAAACTTGGCTATATTTTCAGAAAATGATACTGCACAGTCAGTAATTTTTCATAAGTCACATGCTACTGCTTTTTAGATTTCAAATGCATTATATAAATGGAAAAACTAATGGGCAGTATACATTCACCTAGTTTCACATGGATTCCTGTAGGGGCTCACAATCTATGGCCCTAGGATGCACTTGCGCACACTAGTTCCAGTTTTAGGTAGAAGCCTATAACCTACCACAATGCTGTGATAGCAAACCAAGCTGTCTAATGGAAGCCCACTTAAATACAAAGAAAAAAAAAAAAAAAATTTAGGCAGATGAGTGTCCCAAATGGGAACACAGGACTAAAAAAGGCAAAATCTTACCACTACACATTGTTTTAGCCCACTGACAATCAAATCACTACTGTATCCTGTAGTGACAAGGGAGTCAACGGAGCACACCAGGGGACACAACAGACAAAACACTAAAATTGTCAGTTTCACAGCAGATTCTATGGTAGACTTCTTTTGAGCTGCAATCAGTAGTACAAGCAGCTGGAAAAGGAAAGTATTTACATCCTTTTTTTTTAGAAAACATTTTTATTTTTCATTTTATTTACTTTGGTTGTCATCACAGGTTTATTCCATATATAATTTAAACACATAGCTGCATAGAAAGTGTACTTTTTTGTATACAACCATGTAATCAAAATAAATTAGTTTCTTCGACAGCGATCAAAACACATTTGTGTGGACCACTGACTAACAGTATTTCAAGACTGTCCTCTCTCATTTTGTTACTTTTTAGATTTGGATAGAGTGGTAAGGGGTTAGGAACCATTGTCTGGTTTTTATTGCTGTCTGTGTCCCCGTTTGCTCTCCCTGCCTGTCCTAATCACCAGTGTCACTGGGATTATTAGTGAGTATATCCAAAATTTTGAGTAGCCACAAGAAGAGAAATAAGAGGAAATCTTCCAGTGGGGACATTTGTTTTGATGACAACAACTGTCTAAGGCTTCATGTATACGAGCAGCTCCTAAATTCGAGCTTAGGAGCTTTTGCAATTTTTTTTCCAAAGCTCCTAAACTCAACTCCATAAAAGCCCATGTGAGGTTAAACCTCCTCTCCAGAACGTGAAAGAATTTAGGATAGGAACGTTTTGACCCCCGGAAAACACGGTAAAAATCGCAGTATCCACGTTTTCCTGCAGCCGGTGGTCAGGGTAGACCCATGTACATTGAACCCAAGACAGGATTTCCCTCACATTGGAAACCAATCCTGTCACTTCCTATGAGGTCTACAGGACAGGGAGTGAAGAAAAACCTCCTTAATGAGACTCAAATGGTCAAAAAAAAAAAAAAAAAAAAAAACCATTTGGAATAGAGAAAGTTAAAAACCGAATATTACACACACACACACACACACACACACACACACACACACACACACACCTTTAGATATACTTTAAGCTCCTGACTTAGCACTCTAGTAAAAACGTGGGCACGGCAAAGTGAGGAACAGTATATTAAAAGTACCTTAAGACATTTCAGTAAGGACTGCAGGACGGGCGCTTGTGACAACTTGTGCTTCCAAGATGGCTGACGACGAATAACATGGCCCAATAGTGTCAGAGTTGATAAGCGGTAGCAGCTTTTCCTAAATACTCATTTATCTTGTCCAAAAGGTGCTGTTACAGAATAGAACAGTTCTTGGTATCTCAGAATTTACAAAGTCAAAGTACTGAAACTGTAGAAAGTATTCTTACTGGGCAGAATTATAAATTGATACAGGTTGCAAAAAAACACATTTGAAGCAAATCGATGCTTTCTAAAATGCCATAAAAAACAAAAAACAAAAACCACAGACAAAAAGGAAACACTTTTTTTGTTTGGATAGAGTGGCTAAAGGGTACAACCCCTGCCATTCATTATTTCCAAATACATACATAGTTAAAGTATATGTAAAGCCAAATATTTTCATTTTTGTGTAGAGTAGTGGATGCTTAAAATCCCTGGCCATTTTTCTTTGCAGTCTACCCCCTATTGGGAATTTTTCCTTCACTTCCTCTGCAGTATACACAATAGGAAGTCAAAAATAATCTCTCAAAATAGGGGGAAAGACTCCACATCGGAAAAGGCTTTAGATATAGTTAAACCATTTGCAAAAGAAAAAAAAAAAAAAGAATGTAATAAATTATACATACATACTAGATAATAAAGGCAGGCATCCCAGTACTTTTGGGAGTATAGTATATAATATAAAATACATAGAAAATATTGACAAAAGTATTGGGACGGCTACCTTTACACGCACATGAACTTTGACATCCCAGTCTTAGTCCGTAGGGTTTAATATGGAGTTGGCCCACCCTTTGCAGCTATAACAGCTTCAACTCTTCTGGGAAGGCGGTCCACAAGGTTTAGGAGTATCTATGGGAATGGTTTGACCATTCTTCCAGAACTGCATTTGTGAGGTCAGGCACTGATGTCAAACAAGAAGGCCTGGCTCACAGTCTCCGCTCAAATTCATCCCAAAGGTGTTCTATTGGGTTGAGATCAGGACCTTGCGCAGATCAGTCAAGTTCCTCCACCCCAAACTCGCTCACCATGTCTTTATGGACCTTGCTTTGTGCACTGGTGCTTAATCATGTTGGAACAAGAAGGGGCCATCCCCAAACTGTTCCCACAAAGTTGGGAGCATGAAATTGTCCAAAATGTCTTGGTATGCTGTCTCCTTAAGAGTTCCCTTCACTGGAACTAAGGGGCCAAGCCCAACCCCTCAAAAACAACCCCACACCATAATCCCCCCTCCACCAAACTTTACACTTGGAACGATGCAGTCAGTCAACTACCATTTTCCTGGCAACCACCAAACCCAGACACGTCCATCGGATTGCCAGACAGAAGCGTGATTCGTCACTCCAGAGAACACATCTCCACTGCTCTACAGTGGAGCGGTGGCATGCTTTACATCACTGCATCGAATGCTTTGCATTGCACTTGGTGATGTAAAACTTGGATGCAGCTGCTCGGCCATGGAAACCCATTCCATGAAGCTCTACGCACTGTTGTGCTAATCTGAAGGCCACATGAAGTTTGGAGGTCTTTAGATATCAACTCTGCAGACAGTAGGAGACTTCTGCGTTTCAGCATGCGGTGACTCTGCTCTGTCATTTTACGTGGCTCGTTGTTCCCACTTTGTTATAATACCACTAACAGCTGACTGTGGAATATTTAGTAGCAAGGAAATTTCACGGATGGACTTCTTGCACAGGTGGCAAACCTATCATGATACCACACTTAAATTCACTGAGCTCCTGAGAGTGACCCATTCTTTCACAAATGTCTGTAGAAAGCAGTCTGCATGCCTAGGTGCTTGATTTTATACACCTGAATTCAATGATTTGGAGGGGAGTCCCAATTACTTTTGGCAATATATTATACATTCACTGCATGCGCTGCTAGTAATGCAGAGTGATGTGAGCTTACTGAGCTTCAAAGAGGGCAACTGTTGGTGCCCACTTAGCTAATGACTCTGTGGCTGAAGCAGCCAATTTATTTGCCATGTCACGAGATACAGTATCAAAAGGTTATGACAGCATATAGAGTTTCCGGGAAAACAGTCCGATATATGCATAATTGTGGTCGACATGGTCAACTGGCCATAAGACAAAAGGACATGCACCGAAATCAGATAAATGCAGCAAGTGTGACTGCAGAGCTCAGTCTTCCAAAGCTCGTGTCCACAAAAACTGTGCAGAGGGAACTCCATATTCAAAAGATTCATGGGCGAGATGCAACTGCAAAACCACTAGTGACCGATTTTAATGCTCAAAAGAAGAGTGGTGCAACACCCGTAAATCTTGGACTATGGATTAATGGTTCGATGAATTGAGCTTTACATTGCTCCCAACCACCCATGTGTGGCAAACACTGTGCCAAGTTTATGGCCAGGATTGTCTTGTGCCAACGGTAAAGCATGGTGGCAGCACAACCATGGTTTCGGCAGCCATATCTTGGTATTCTGCAGGCCCCATTATCATCTTGAAATATAGAGTCACTGCCAGCAACTATGTACAAATATTAGCCGACCATGTGCACCCCATGGTGTAGACAGTTTCCCAAAGACCATGCCATTTACCAAGATGATAATTCTCCAATTCACACAGCTGGTGCCGTCAAATCGTGGTTTGATGAGCATGCAGACAAGTTTTGCACCTTCCCTGGGCGCCGCACCTCAATATCATACAGACACTATGGTCAATTTTGAAGAACATGGTTCCACCTCCAAAGATTGTGAGCACTGGAATGATTTTTGCATGAAGAGTGGTATCAGAACCCATTATCCACCATTCGAGACATATATTTGTTAATTCCCAGGAGAATTCAGGCCATCTTGGATGCCAAAAGGTGGTCCAACATACATACGCTTTTTTTTTTTTTTTTTTAATTTAAAACACCCACACATCACACACATATAAATGACCCGATGCTTGTCTACAGAAACAGCCTCCAACCCAAACCATGCCTCCTCTTGCCGTGCCAAGATGTAGGAACTTTTACAAAAAAAAAAAAAAAAAAAACAAACTACCCTCAATACTGGCAAGAGAAGAACATTCCAAGTCATACCTTGTCATGGGGCTCTTGTACCATAGAGAGGATTAGCATTGCTTGTTCAGAATTTGTTTCCAGATAATGATCCACCAGATTGTTCACTAGGATTGGAAAACGGTCTAGGATTGGGAAGTAAACCATGAATGAGAGGGGAGATACAGATAGACATTAGCTTTGCAGGTAGACACATGTCTAGGACTCTCCTTTTGTGCCAATTTGATTTTCTGCTTAAAGTCCATCTCTAAATAGAAACCCACCATCTCCCCAGCAATGACTGCGCTAACATTTCTATCATAAAAAGGTTTACTTTAAATAACCCATCTACATTCTATGTTATGGCAACTGTATGGGTGATTGCTTATGTCAATGGAACCTTAACAAGACACTTACCATGCATGACACAGTGACAGGGTCTCAGGCAGCCCCTACCACATACGCACCTTACCAGCACCCTCTTACCTATCCTTACATTTCCACAGCTGGGTACAATTCTGTGTATGGAGGAGCACAAGACCACCCCTCTCCAGCAACAATGCTTGGGTCTAGCAGCCAAATCGCTAGGCCCAAGCACAGTCACATAACAAGGTGGCTGATATTATCCTCTCCTCCCAGGTTACTAATACCAGTCAGTTCAGTACTGGTTGTAGAGGAGGAAGGAGTGATTAGCACTAGTGAGATTAGTATTGTTCAGGAAGGAAGGGGGGGGGGGGGGATGTCAGGTATAACTTTGCAGGAGTACAGTGTCATTTTGGCATGGCGATAGTTTCTCTCAGTAATAAGAGTCTTCCACTGTTGGCCCATTTCTAAGCTTTCAATATTTCAAGTTGCCTGGCTGCAGGGGGCCTTAATGTTTTCTAATTCAACGTCCCGTCTCAAATACACAGCCAGTGACATCAGTTTTCTTAGTCTACATGCCTGCTCAGAAAATACTGAAGCAACCAAAAAACAAGTATTTTGAGAAGGAGAACTCAAATAGCAGATATGTATAGTTTTTTTTTTTTTATAAACCTTGCCTGAACGAAGACAAAAGTCTAAATGATTGTATTGTGTGTTTTTTTTTTTTTTTTTTTTTTTTCAGGAGGGATAGATCAGGGAAGTGTCAGAGCCACAGTCAGGTTTTTATGGTCATGTGGTTTATATTTGGGAGATTATCCCTTTACTATTTAAAATTTTTTTTTTTAGTACAGCGAGGATAGGTTAGAATATATGGCAATGATCTTATTAGCATGTGCGCTTTCCTATCCCAGTGACTACCATACACCTCAATTATTGCAGGGTGTCACTGGGACAGGAAGAAATTAAAACATCTCCCACCTTGTCACAGAAAAAAAAAAAATAACCCAACAGAAGTCTACCCCACACTTTGGTCCAGGAGGTGAAACTATTGTTGCTGAGACATGATGTGAGACAGAAAAGAATGTTTAATTTGTCCATTGAAAGCTTATATTCTGAAGGTGGAGTAACTTTGTAAAAAAAACAAAACAAAACAAAAAACACAAGAAGATAAAAAGGGACTTGGTTTCCAGTAATCAGTAGTAGTGTTTCAGAAACCAACTGGAATAAGTGAATTAAAGACCCCACATGCAACATCCATACACTTTACCAGTACTGAGGTGATCTCTTATAAGCCTGTGGATTTCATCCAGATGTTGTAGATCTGGAGACTCAAGCAGATAGAGGTGCTCCCACACATTGATTTGTTGGGCCATGCTGCTGGACAGGTGTATGTGCTGGTGACAGGACACGGGAGGCTAAAGGTCACAGCAGGGTCCTCATCTGTGCCTCCTCCAACCTAAGAGAAGGGAAAACGACAAAATATATTCATCAGCGTTAGAATACAGAAGTTTCAAAGCTATGAGCTACGCCTCATACAGTACTGACACTCAAGTACAAGGTTCACTCATATCAGTCTGTCAGAGAGAAGCTTACAGTCTGATGTCTTAAGCTATTCAGACACATGCTAAAACAGATGTGATTACAAGTTATTGTACCTCAATGATTTGATTCCCCTGACATTCTTATATCGCTTCCATGTAACACTGCTCTCACATTTGTTTCAAACAAGTTCATTATTAGCAGGACTGTTAACCCTCTGGTGTATTTCTTTGAAGCAAATAAAAAAAAAAAAAAAAAAAAAAAAAAAAAAGCGTACCAACCTTGCGCATTACCTTAGCAATAAAAGCAATTTTATTAAAATATGTATACTCTAACGTAGCAATATAAAAAGCATGTAATGTCCAAGAGGGGATCACAATAGTTAGTAGAGTGCGAATCCCACTGGAAGGGAGACACTGTATAAGGATGACGCGTTTCAAAGGGAGATCCCTGGTTCACAGTGATGCGGAATTCACATTTTCTGTGCAAATTACTCACATCAGAATCACACCCAGTTCATGCGAACCGCTGCGGGTGTATATGTTATGAAAAAAAAAAAATGCAGTGCAATGTGCAGAATCAGATCATATAGGTGTGAATACCCATGTGATCCAATTCTAGTGCGGACCAAAAAAAGGGTCCTGCACCTTTTAGGTGTGGTGTGATTAGAGCCATACAAAATGCATGGCTCCAATCGAACCGCACACAAATTGCATGGGATTTGCACAGGAATGCAGTTGAGGCTGAATATATATGACTAAGTATATAGCACAAAACTGCATAAAACAAAATCAAACACTATATAATAAAATATATACAGGGGGACAAAAAAAGTAGTCAGCCACCAATTGTGCAAGTTCTCCCACTTAAAAAGATGAGAGAGGCCTGTAATTGGCATCATAGGTAGACCTCAACTATGAGAGACAAAATGAGAAAACAAATCCAGACAATCACATTGGCTGATTTGGAGAGAATTTTTTTGCAAATTATGGTGGAAAATAAGTATTTGGTCACCTACAAACAAGCAAGATTTCTGGCTCTCACAGACCTGTACCTTCTTCTTTAAGAGGCTCCTCTGTCCTGCACTCATTACCTGTATCAATGGTACCTGTTTGAGGTTGTGGACAGGTGTCTTTTATACTGATAACAAATTCAAACAGTCACACTCCAAACTCCACTATGGTGAAGACCAAAGAGCTGTCGAAGGACACCAGAAACAAAATTGTAGACCTGCACCAGGCTGGGAAGACTAAATCTGCAGTAATCAAGCAGCTTGGTGTGAACAAATCAACTGTGGGAGCAATAAATTAGAAAATGGAAGACATACAAGACCACTGATAATCTCCCTCGATCTGGGGCTCCACGCAAGATCTCACCCAGTGGGGTCAAAATGATCACAAGAACGGTGAGCAAAAATCCCAGGACCACACAGGGGGGACCTAGTGAATGACCTGCAGAGAGCTGGGACCAACGTAACAAAGGCTACCATCAGTAAACACACTACGCCACCAGGGACTGAGATCCTGCAGTGCCAGATGTGTCCCCCCTGCTTAAGCCAGTACATGTCCAGGCCCCTCTGAAGTTTGCTACAGAGCATTTGGATGATCCAGAAGAGGATTGGGAGAATGTCATATGGTCAGATGAAACCAAAATAGAACTGTTTGGTAGAAACACAACTAGTCGTGTTTGGAGGAGAGAAAATGCTGAGTTGCATCCAAAGAACACCATACCTACTGTGAAGCATGGGGGTGGCAACATCATGCTTTGGGGCTGTTTCTCCGCAAAGGGACCAGGACGACTGATCCATGTACAGGACAGAATGAATGGGGCCATGTATCGTGAGATTTTGAGTGCAAACCCCATTCCATCAGCAAGGG